AAAAGTTATATTATTTCTTAAGGAACAAAAAGATTCCAAAACATCCTGTACGTAATTGTCATTTAGTATTTTCATTTAACCTCTGTTCAGTATGGAAGCCAATTTCTGCCAGGAAAAGAAAAAAAGTTATGAAAGCAATGGTGAACTTAATAATGTGTAATTGTAATTTTATGAGCAGTATCTGATGAAGTTTGCCTTAGTAAGTCAAAATATTTAATAATTCTGAGTTTCGCATAGGTTGACTCATTATGTTTTCATTTTGTATTAAAAAGTTGTTGATTTGACTTTGTTTTGCATAGATTTAATGTAAAAAAAATTTGACTCCTAGGTCAGATATTTGACTTTAACACGTGGGTGTTTTTAATTTTTATCACACCAGACTTTCTATTATTTTATTTTCCTGACAGAAATGTGCCTCTATAGTGTCGCCTACTAACCTGACTCCACTGCTTGCTGGTATTTTATGTAAATTATTCAGCCTTTGTTGCTGTACGCTTCTGTATACTTGTTCTATATTCAGAAATAAAATGTATTTAAAAGAACAAACAATGACTGTAGTTTGTCTGCGTTTATGAAATGGCCTCTAATTTCTAAATGTACTGTTTAACCAACTCATCCTCACTGTGACCTCGTCACATGTCCACGTTTGATCATGGACTTTCCACGTCCACATAAGACGTCCAAGGTACCCTGGGTGTGTTGGTTGTTGACGTTCTGGGACGCCGTGTCAACTTCAGCCTGTTACATGCATTGTCTGTTTTCAAAATACACTTCTGTTCTCACAGGAAATGTACAGTTTGCATACAGTCTCTTTCAAAATAAAAGCACTACTTCGGTACAACCGCAAATTGACATTTTTTTTCCTTCAACAACAAAAAGACACAGTTAGGTTTAGGAAAAAAGATGCTGCTGGGCACCGTTAAACTATAACAACAACCAGCTGCGTGTCATGCCGACATTAAAGGACGCCTTTTTTCGTTGGTTTCTGTCGCCGCAAGTCACTGCCCAAGTGCTGGATTTCGATGAATTCAGAGTGAGACCAGGCTCATTTAACTGTATCTGTGCACACACTTGTGTTTGGCTTTAAAAATGATGAAAGAAAAGTGATCACACACATTTGATTTTATTTATTTTTTCTTTGTTAAGCATCTGCAGCATAGACCCCCAACCCCAACCCCCAACAAAAAAAAAAAAAAACTAACCTTCACCGTGACAAGAAACTTTTTTTATAACAGTAGTACAATTTAAAATAAATATCATAAAACACTTTTTTTTACAATAATCCTGAGATTGAAATCAAAAATAACAACAAACAGACCGATGGAGGGAAAGCGTCAGCTCGTCCTCCTCCATCAGTCAGGACCAGAGATGTAGAGGTGAAGCTACAAGTACATGAGTGGATTATTAGCTTCTTACAGAGGGTTTGGGTTCTGAAATGAAGTTAAATTTGTCACTGTTGGCTTTAATGTGAGGGTGTTCACATCCAAATCCCGTCAACCATGGAGGAATTATACATAGCATTACAAATGAAAGACAGTTGTGGTTTCTTACAGCTCGGCTTACAGTAGTTTTGTAGTTCTGACCATCATTTCTGATAATGATAATATTGCACGTCACGGAAAAGAAGAGACACAAGCGGTGAGACAATCAGACAGTTTGGAAACAAAACAACAGTTTATCTAAACTATTGAAAGGGAACACACCTGAAATATTGGATCCCTCGTTGACAAAGAAACGGTGCACACAACGATGGTAAATACAGCTGTCGAGGTTAAAGCAAGACGTGAGTCTGTAAACTATGATGGATGTTTATGACGGATAGTTTGAGTCCTACTTTTTGGAGGCTTGTTTCCAACCTGACTGATCGTCTGACTGCTCGTGTTTCTTGACTCGAGATATCACCGTGTTCCCAGATCTCAGTGATGAGTAAAATGTTTTTATCACTGATAGACATGACGGACAAAAGAGCAAAAATCAAAGCCCAAGTTGTAATAAAAGCATCAAATCATGCATTGTTGCTCCAGCAGGATGTCAGTGCAGAGTCAGCATGTTTTTGGACATATACTCATGAGGCAAACTTCATTTGTTTGATTGATACGCCATAAATGGACCTAAAATAAAGATTACTTTGCTGTTCTCCAGGTCAAGGCTAAATGTTCATACTCTAGCTCTTGATTCTACATGTATTCCAGAATACTGCAAATTTATCTCATAAACATGTTAAAGCACAAGTTTGGTGTTATTTTGTTTTGGCTGTTGCCTTAATGTGACGGGGTGGACTTTCTGACTTCCTGTCTCCTTTAATATCATTAAAAACATTTCACAAATATATTGTTTCATTTTTTAAAACGTCTCAATAATTTCCTACAACAGCTGCTCACTGTAGTCTGTGGTTGGTGCATTCACGGTAATGAAGGAACATGTTACCCAGTGCAACATATGCTCATACAGTGATACTTATAAATGCTTAAAGAAATAACGCCTCCACTGGTTAGGTTAGGTTTAGGGAATGAAACATGGTTTTGTACTCACATTGCTGAAAAGTACAGTTATGTATTTAATGTAAATTAAACATTAAAATGTTAGGTTTAGAAAAACAAACATGGTTGGACATCGTCATGTACTTCATGTAAAGTTACCTGGGTTAGGTTAAAGAAAACAATCATGGTTGGACATCATTACGTAGTGAACATAAAATTACGAAGGTTAGGTTTGGAAAACAATCATGGTTGGACATTGTCATGTTGTGTACTTAACATAAAGTTATGTAGGATAGGTTAAAGAACGTAAAGTTTGGTCAGTTAGATTTAGAAAAACAAACATTGTTGGGTGTCGTCACGTTACATATTTAATGTAAAGTTACATCGGTTAAGTTTAGGAAATCAATCATGGCTGGGCATCGTCACACTGTGTATTTAACTGACAGTTACGAAGGACAGGTTTGGGAAAACAACCATGGTTGTGCGTCATTCTGTTCCATAATGAACATAAAGTTACATAAGTTAGGTTCAGGAAAGCAAAGTCACTGTCATGTTACATACCTAACGTAAAGTTTAGTAGGTTAGGTTTAAGAGAGTAAAGTTATGTAGGACAGGTCTAGGAAAACAAACATGGTTGGGTGTCATCATGTTACGTACTTAACGTTAAGTTACATCGGTTAGGTTTGGGAAAACAAACGTGACAACATGCCTTAAAATAACTCAAAGTTCACTTGGTTTCACTTGGGTCATGGACACCGATCTCCTGGGTAAATATAGTGTTTGTTTGAGTCATACACTCCAACCTGCCTGTTTGCTCTTTATACTACGTTCTAATTTACTTCCGTCAGAGCACTAGTCATGTCATCACAGCCTTCACACATTCATCTATAACCCAGATTATAGATGAATTACTGGCTCGTGACTACGTGGCTTATATGAATTCTGTTACATTACTTTTTGTTGGTATAAGTATGAAGGCTGCGACAGTGCAGCTCGCTGATGTGTTTTTAATAGTTTTCTGGACAAGGCAGCAGATAAATCAGGCTCTGACACACACACACACACACACACACACAATACTTGTTAGTAAAATAAACTCTGTGTTGGTTTTAGTCTTTTTATGGGATTTGTTAAAAATAAGAAAAATACTGAATATTTTAAAATGTTGGTATGAATCCTGTTTTTGACTCTAAAATCGATGGTTGTTGCTTCACCTCTGCCACATCTCTGGTCTCAGAGTTCATCAATCTCACATCCTGAGATGTAACTGAAAAATAATGAAAACTAGGAATCACTGATGACTAATGACGTAATAATTAGCCACCATTATAATATCATGGACTAATAATCAGAGGACGGCAAATCTAAGTTCTGTGTGTCCTCTGTGAAATGTCCTCAGTCCAGAGACAGAAGCATCGCGGCCGGTCGGTCTGGAGGTTATCTCCGGTCAGTTTCCAGGCCGGCGTCGTGGCCAGAGGAGTCAGAGGGGTCAGGGGTCACGTCAAATCAGGTCTGAGGGGCCCTTGTGGGGCCTGGAGGGGAGAGGACGTGTCCTGATGGCTTTAGCAGGGTGAAGTTCAAGAGGAAGGGTCAGGTTAGGGTTCAACAGGCCTGAGAGGCGACTGGGCTTCCTCGTGTCTTTCTTCTAGGTCACATTTAGGGCGCCACATCGGGGGAAATTTGTACAAAGGAAACGTCTGTTATTGGGAAGAATTTAAAAATGACTCTCTGGGCTCTATCAGACGAGCTGCTCACAATTAGTTGAGAGGAATAGTGACCAAAACATACGCGAACCTCATTAAAAATATTTTAGTTGTGCTTCACTGACCCTGAACAGGGATCAGAATGTGACAAAATACTGTTGGACTTCATCGGTTTAATGTAAAACTGTGTCTCTGTAAAGCAGGGCCGTACATATCAAGCAGGTCGCATTTCTTTTATCACAAGGCTCAACTTATATCAGGGATAGGTCAAAGTTGAACCCTGAATAGGCGCCATTATCCCTTTCAGAAGGGACCGCCCTCTTAATGATGTGATTGGTTATCGTCTGTGTCAGTCAAAGAGACCCTGCTGGTGAAAATCTAAAGGGCCACATCACTAATTTTACACATGAAAATCAGCCATGGTCAGTTTTCGTCTGCCAGTTGTCTTCAGTGACTCTTTGTGTAGCTCTGAGAAAATAACCCTGATGACGTCATAGTGATGTCATCAGGGTTGTCTCGGAGCAGGCTTGGAGGCTTTAAATGTATGAAACAGATTACAAACTGGACAACTGAGTTTGAAAGACGTGGCCAGGCAGGGAGGCTCTATTCAAAACACACAGTCCAGTTGCATTGTGGGAAATGTAGGGTCCTGTGTTTTTGGAGCATAAAGCATACACCAGGAGCTAAAAGACGGGATATCTTTGTCTCTGTGCTTTGATTTTGACTGTTTTTGTCTCAAACTGAACATATTTTTTCTAAATGTGGATCAGAATCAGCTTTAATACTTAAATTTCATGGCTGCACATGAACGAAGTGTCTGAATGAAGTCATCTGAGAGGAGGACTGAGTGATCTTCAGGTGAACAAAGCACATTAATCAGTCATTTGAGGGCACGAGTTTCTATTTTATAAAATAATCTTCACCCTAACACCTACAGGACTCTGTAACTCTGGACTATAAGGAGTTCAGTTTAGTTTCAGCTTGACAGCGAGGTCACAGCAGACTTGATGTATTTTTTGGTGTGTCGGGATGAAGGGTAAAGAGTCACTGTTCAGGTCCGAGCCGAGCGTCTCTCAGGCCTGAGGGGGCGACTGCGGGCCGACCGGGTCGTGCAGCTTCCTGATGTGTTTCTTCAGGTCAAAGTTCCTGCAGAAGCCCTTGCCGCAGGTGGGGCAGGTGAAGGGCTTCTTGTCGTTGTGCGTGTGCATATGGAAGGTGAGGTTGTACACCTGGTGGAACGCCTTGTTGCAGATGGAGCACTTGAACTGCTTCTCCCCGCTGTGTGTCAGCTTGTGGTTCTTGTAGTTTCCTGCACACAGTCAGAGGACGAGGAGTCAGAGCAGGACAAGACAAAGCCAGACACTGTGATGCCATTTGCTCAGTTTTATAGAAGAAATATGAAATGATTTTCAGCAGGTCAGTGGCTCCAAAGCTTTCAGGCTGCTGACCCTTTAAGGTAAAGTCATGTCAAAGGTTGGAGATACATCTGAGCTGCGAGCAGTTCAAATAAAGTGAGGTTTTCTTCATCGATCGTTTCCTTGAATTCTTTTTAGATGCCTTATAGGAAAAACTGTCCAGTGTCTCTCACTGAACATATAGAATATAGAATGCACAGGATTTGTGAAGAAGGAATAAGCAGAATATGCTTTTATTCTTGGAAAAAAAAACTAACTCTCACTGTAACAAGAATTTTTTTAATAGTACATTTGATATTTTATATACATAATTTATTTGTATTTTACATAAAAATATTTTTTTTTTTACATTTTTCTTTATTTTATATAGCAGTATATTTGATATTTTATATTATTTAAAGATATACTACTTGTGATATTTAAAATAAATATCAAAAAACACTTTAAAAAAAAAAATCCTGAGATTGAAATCAAAAGTAACCACAAACAGACAGAGTGATGGAGGCAAAGCGTCAGCTCGTCCTCCTCTGTCAGTCAGGACCAGAGGTGCAGAGGTGAAGCTACGAGCACGAGTGGATTTTAAGTTTCTTATAGTTGGTTTGGATCTGAACTGAAGTTAAGTTTGGCACTGTTGGCTTTAATTTGAGGGTGTTTGATCCAAATCCTGTCAACAGTGTCAGAGTTATAGACAATAGAGGTCAAAGACTTATATTCTTATTTCCTGTCAATTATCCTGTCACCCCCTCAGATTTATCTTCTGATCACCAAGGAACCCCCGTATTGAAACAGAGGGACTGCAGGAGAAAAATGTCACTAAATGATAAGAAAAAAAAAGAGGATATTTTAAGTACGTGAAAATTACAAACTCTCCTACAAATGCTAATTTTATTTCCGCTTCCACTTCATCAAATCGTCTGATGACACAACCCTCCTGGAGCTGTTTTTCTAATGATGCTGATTGATGATGATTTTTGACCCTGGAAGACGCCACTGGTCGTCCACATTCACTCTGTAGCTCATATATTGAAATAAATCTCTCTTAACAGTGTCAGTTAAATCTAAATAATATAAATATATTCTGTTACTGTCCCCCAGAATGCTGGCTTTAATCCCTCCACATACTACAAAAGACTGTGCAACATTCTGTCATTAACGCGTCTGTATCAATAGAATAAATGTGATTTTAAGAGCATATGTAATTTCATACTTTACATAGTATTGTAATTTCTCAGCTGGACCACAGTTATTATGGTTAACACCAATCTAACAACCACTTACAGCATGAAGTGTTATTTCCTAGATTGATAAAAATGTATATAAATGTTGGAAATATCTGAAAATCAAATACTTGTATTATTGTCTGCAGCTTTAACGTCACTGCTGCACATGAACGACTTCCAGGGACCAACTCAAGTCATCTGACGGGACAATTTAGTGACTAACGCAAACTACTTTTGTAATTCAAGTGAACAATTGACCAATCTAAGGGAGCAAAGGCACCACACTGAGCACACAGATTACTATACTGAAGAAAATGACTTGTAATTTGAGGACATTTAGCCTGAAAAGATCTGAATTTAAAGATATCAGCCTCCAAACTTCATCGCTCGACTCTGATCTGTGAGCAGAAAACCTTTGTATCATCTTCACATTCCACCCTCTGACACCAGACATAAACTTTACCACAATAAAGTACAATTACTCATGTGTACTGAGGTGTGTTGGTGTCAGTGGTGGAAAGTAACTGAGTACATTTACTCAAGTATGTGAGTGCTGTCATTGTATCTACTTTTTTTTACGTCTACATTTGAAGGCAAAATATTTTACACTTTACTCCACTCCATTTATGTGGAAGCTTTAATTAGATTCATCGTATGAACACAAAATATGCTCATTAAATAAATGCTGACATGATACAGATTAAAGCACGCAGCGGAGTACAGCGTTAAAGTGATGAACACATGAATGCATCAGTTATTAGAATCCTGTATGTCACTGTGAAATCTGCATAAGTGAAGTACACATTTTGATGGTAATATTTCTGCACTAATAGATACATGTGGTTTTGTGCCTATTGTATGTGATGTGTGTCACTTTGCAAATGTCTTCTGTTGCATTTCATGACATCTGTATTTATTATATTTATTGTAAACAGCAGGAGTCTGTCACAGGGACATTAAAGTGTGTTCAGCATCAAACCTGCTGTGTCTCAGTCTGTCCCTTTGATTAAATATTACCATGATTATTTGTCTTTTTATTTATTTATTTATTCAATTTCTCCTCTGACAGTTTCAAATGATTTGGTCTTTTTGGGTCTCAGTATTCTGACTGGTGTTGCTGTGAAACAAAGTGACAGCTGACAGATGCTGCTGATGGCATTCAGCCTGATCTGAGAATGTCATTAAAACACTTTCTAGAAGATGCTTCCTTTGTTTCTTTATATCCTGTATGAATTATTAAACTATCACAGGAGAGCACTGACTTCTAAGTGAAGAGTGTGTGTGGTCACCAGACATTTAGAGTGATGACAGTAAATTATCATTATTATAACACATATATAAAGATAAATATTTCATCAATTGACTGAATATTCCAGATCATAATAATAAACAATAATTAAACAAATATTAACGCGGTTGTGTTTCACATTCTGTCTCTGTCGCTAACACGTTAAAACACAAACACTTTGGGTAGATGTCTCTTTCACTGTCTCACCTTTCTGATGAAATCCTTTCCCGCAGAACTCGCACACGAACGGTTTGTATCCCGCGTGGATGCGCGTGTGCGTGTTGAGGGTGGAGCTGCGGTTGAAGGCTTTCCCGCACTGGTTACACTTGTGTGGTTTTTCCTATGAAAATAAAGAGGAAGAAAAAATATTGATCGAAAATTACACATCTGATTTAAAACGAATAAAGGATGTTTCAGGGATTTTACAGTGAACGCAACACGAGATGATGCGTTTAATGACCTGACTCTCACAGATAATTTAGGGAGCATTAAAGGGAGTTTAATTTTTCATTCTTTTTTTTTCAGGATTCAAAAACATTAGCTCACTTTCTTCAGTGTAAACATGAGCCCGGGATTATTTTAGACACTGAAGTGTGAGAGGCACAGTGAGACCACAGGAGGAGCTCAAACACAACAAACAGGCTGAGCACAGGCGCGAGGCTTCACACTCTCTTGGGAAAAAATAAAATAGAATAAAAAGCAGAACTTGTCATAATTTATATTTATTTACAGATGAGGTCAGTCTGTGAAACCATCATCCACGAGATTTATCATGAAGCAATGTTATACCTACTAAAAGACAATTGTTTTTGTTTTACAGAATTAAAAATGTATTTACCACACACACACACACACACACACACACACATTTAGATAATGTTAAACTCCTCATAAAGCCTCGAATAAAACACTCGATTTAATTAACTGAATGAAAAAGTCCCGCCCACAACAAATACAATATGATTGGAGACTCCCATCGACCTCACCTTGATCGACAGGTATTAAAACTATCAAACTATAGTCACGTTAATAATATTCTGATGCTGTTTGAGAGCTGATAACAAGCCCGAAGAAAACTGGCCTTTAATCATTTCATTATTTTTAATCGGGGCTTTGAAGCGTGGGAGAAAAATATATTTAATTATTTTCCCACTGGAATAAAAGAAATAAAAAGAGAATTTATTACTAATATATAATAATATGGATACTAATAAATTCGTGCCAGTCTGACTTCCTGTTCATGCTCTTAAAATGGCAACAAAAGAGGAAAGAAAAATAAAATAAAGAAATAAAAAGGTTTTAATATAATCCATTTCTTCTTTAACTGCAGTCTGATTATTAGTTTTGAATGAGATCAATAATGTGTGTGTGTGACCCACCTGAGTGTGGATGATTTTGTGTCGGCACAGTGTGCTCGCCTGTCGGAATCCTTTCCCGCAAACTTTGCACACAAACGGCCGCGCGCCTGTGTGCACGGGCATGTGGCGGGTCAGGTTGTAGTGCGCGTTAAACACCTGAAAGAGACATTTACAAATGTTCATAATAATAATAATAATAATAGAGTCAAATAATTTAAAAATATATCTCAATGCACAAAACATTTTTTAAATAACATTCACACTGGTTTTATTTAAAAACAACATTGACTTCATAATTTACTTAAAAAATAATTTGGACTAATTTCAGCCTCTGAGCTAAAATGTAAAAACAACTCATGGCTTTTCCATTAACACCCCTTAAGTGTGAGTTAAGGGTTTATTTAATGGCTCGTGATCGTTTCCATTTAAGCCAAAAGAAAGAGGAAAAAAATAAATCCGGTGCCCTGTAATTATCCGCTTGAGTCTAATTAAATATAATGTGTCAGGGCTCGTTTAATGGATTTAATGTGTCGTTAATAACACAAGAATAAACCTGCACAGCGCGCACTGTGACGAAGACACTTAAATTCATAAATAACACTCGTCATCCTCGAGAATATTTGACTTTGTTGTAACGAATAATGAATCTTGATCTCTTAGAAAAAATAACATTTGATTTAAATTAGTTGCATTAAAGAAAAACGGAGAATCCCAAAAGAAGAACACAATTTATTTTAATAAAACACATCTTATATTAAATTAAGATTTATCCTAAAAAGAGGTTAAAAAATTTAAAACACTTTCAAATGAAACTATTTAAATTGGGAAAGTCTAAATGAATCCTACTTGTTCCATATTCAGTCATATTGTGTTTCAAATTGTGTAGATGGAGTCTTGGTTTAATAATGTGTGTTTTCTTTAGAACACAAACATCACGTTAAAACGTTCATGTGATTATTGAATATGACTGATGTGTCTGACTTTATGATCTATGGACACACTGCTGCTTGTTTCTACCTGGTGTCGCCTATAAATAAAACGGATGTATTGTTATTATAATCATTATTATCATTATACATTTGAAGCGTCGTTTTCCAAATCTGACCATTCAGATGATTTGATTTTAATGACCCTTCAGCTAATACATTTATTTCTTAAATGTTAAAATATGATCGAATAAATCAGATTTGTAGCTTCAATCTGGATTCTTAAATCGATGAATTAAAATTAAACCCAGTGAGAAACGAAAGGATCCGAGCTGACTGATTAACACATGAATCAGCTGCAGGTTTGGTTCAGTCAGAGTGTGATGAAATAAATCCTCTCACCTTGCCGCAGACCTCGCAGGTGAACACTTTGGGCTTGTTGCCGGGACAGGAGCCGCTGAGCCGGGCCGCCGCCGCCGCCGCCGCGGAGCCCTTGAAGATCTTGTCTGTGAGGATCTGGTCCCGCTCCTTCATGTAGTGCTGGATCTGACTCTGAGACAGCTCCTTGAAGGCCTGCACGCCGGACACCGGGTACCGCTCCCCGGCCTGCTGCAGGCCCGGCTTGCTCTTCTCCGCCATGAAGGCTTTGTGCCGGGCGGTGAGCAGGTACGAGGCCATCGGGTGCAGGTTGACCAGGCCGGCCGGCGGGGGACACGCGCCGCTGTCCCCGCTGCAGTTCAGGTAGCACACGGTGCCCATGGTGGGGAAGGAGGACTGGTTCACCACCCGGGGCCTGAAGAGTTTGTACTGGCCGGCGCTTTGGCTCACAGCGGAGTCCTCCTGCTGGTTCTTATAGTTCAAGCCAAAGCCCAAAAAGTCTGCGGGAGCGGCGAGAGAAGACGCGTCGATGTGGCCCGGATCCAGCCCGGTGATGCTGAGCCGGTGGCCCGGCTCGTACCCGAGCGGCACCAGCGGGATCATACAATGCAGCGAGGACGGACAGACGTCGGGTTTCCCCACGGGAGCGGACTGGAACCAGCTGGGGAGCGGTATCGACTTGGGCTCGGGCGTCCTGGCCATAATCCGGTCGATGGAGAAAGCGAGAGGCTTGCTGCTGCTGCCGCCGGAGGTGAGCATGTCGGAGCCCGCGGGCTGGCTCCCAGAAGCCGGGGGGGAGCCGAGGATCCCCGCTGGGCGGCGGAGAGGACCATCCATCACCTCCGCATCAACCGCGCCGCGACAGCAACAACAACAACAACAACAACAACAACAACAACAACAAGCTGCTGGAGGGAAGCCGGGGGTCGGTGCTGCTCCTCACCGGCCCGCAGGAAAGGGCATCATCTACCGGGGAACCCCCCCTTCAAATCACCGGCCCCGCTCCCCCTTCCTTATTGACTACAATCAGGGCGGCCGTGGCTCGCTCGATAACGGCGTGCGGAGAGCCGAGACCTCGCCGATCGTTACCGTCCAGGAAGGAGAGCGGAGAAGTAGATAATTTGCTCAATTCTCCTCCGTCGATTCTCTGCACTTGTCGCCGCTGGAAGAGGAGGAGGAGAGGAGGAGGAGGAGGTTGTCCCTTACTTGGCAGGACTCCTGCTCAACTGGAAGGTATTTGGTAAATCCCAGGTCCCCTTGTGGCTTCGCGTGACATCATTTTTTTTTTGAATCGCAATACGCCAGACGCGCAGCGGCCGCGAGGTCAGGAGCTGTAGAGTTTTAGATCAGATCTGGACGCATCTTTGGCTCCAGCCCTTTTACGCACGGCTCAGAGAGGACACAGAGCTGTCATGCGGGTGAACTCGAGACAGAAAACGGATCGAGATGTTGAACAGAGAATGGATTTCAAGACATCGATCTCAGCCTGGGTGGGCTCCGGGTCTCTGAAGCACAAACTTTGACTTGAGCGATTTTCTCTCTCTTTTCTTTTACGCACCAGATTTTTAGATGCCAAAACCCACCCGCGACAGAAAACACTCTCTCAGACAGACTCTGATAGATGTTTGCTACAGAAGCAGAACAGCAGAAACAACCCGCGCGCTCTCCTCACATCACCTCCTGTCTCCTTTTTCTCCTTTTTCTCTTTTCTTTTCGGATGCAAACGCAGCCTCTGTTACGCACAGAGAGCAGACTGTAAAAAACTCAGCGGGCAGAAACGCAAATTCCACAGGATGAATCAGTGAGACTGACACAATCATGCCTCCATCCTGTCAGTGATGGAAGCAGTGAGTGGGTTTGATGCTGCGTGGATTTGGACAGAAGATGGAGAGAAATGAGAGTGACCGCTGCCGGCCTGCAGCTGAAAACACAACAAATAAATACACAACATAAATATTAATAAAGGTATTCTTTGTGTTGGTGGACTGATGATGATTTTTTTTTATAAGTCTGCACAAAGATATTTAAAAATGTAAATATTCTAATTTTGTTTTTCTCAAGTAAAGCACGCTGCGCTTTATTTGGAACAAGAATACAGAATATTATAACCGATTAAAAGCTTTGACTGAAAATGACGAATGTACTTTAAATAAGTGTGAAACCAAAGAAAGCCGTAAAGTAATAAAGGTTCATGTAAAAATAAAACTCTGAACATTCACGTCCTCAATAATCAGAATGTACGAAAGCTTAAAAACAAAAGATAAAACCAGATCTTTAAACTGATGGAAATAACTAACATTATTTATTTTGGAACATTTAATTTGGCGACACAAATTCAAACGCGATGCCTTTAAGAAACGCCATCCTTCACTTTATGAACATTAAGGTGGAGTTCATTTACAATAAGGTCCTGTTAGTTTATTATTATCAAGCACATTAAGGACATCTTTAGAGGTGCCTCGGTATTTTAGGGGACGCTGGGACATTTCAGGTGTCAGAGGTCACACAGGATAATCAACACATTTAAATAAAATCACACTTTCACTATGAGGCGTGTAAAATCATACCGTAATGATGTCATCATTATTTCAGGCGTATTATTGGGATTACTGTTCATATTTTGTAACAGATCCAAAGACAGAAAGACACACACACACACACTTTAGTGTTGCAGTCGCAGCGGCCTGTTCTATTTTGTACTGTTATTTTGTTTGTTCATACACACACACACACACACACACACATATATATGTATATTTGTATCAAAAAACGGAAGTAGGTTTTAATAATTAATAAAGCAGGTTGAACCTGTAGACAATAAACAGGGCAAATTAACACACTGGTTTTGTTACAGATACTGGTTATATTAATATAAATCATTAACACATATATAGACATAGAACCTGTACGCAACATCTGTATATATCAAATATGTACATATAATATAAGAATGTATGTTACATGTAAAATATGATAACTTTTAATTTCTACTTGTATTTTTTTAAACTATTTACGTATTTTTATTTTGCTTTTGTTTATAAAATAATTATCATTATTATCATTTATTGCTATTACTACTTTATGGAATGCTTTAGCAATAACATTTTTGTTCAGGCCAATAAAGCTATTTGAATATGAATATAGACAGAGACATAATTATTACTAGTAGCTATCCGTAACAAAACCAGTGTGTTAATTCGCCCTGATTTGTTGTCTACAGGTTCAACCCGCTTTCTTAGGAGTTTATGTTTTCTGTTTGTTTGTCTGTTTGTCTGCAAAATAACTCGAAAAGTTATGAACGGATTTTGATGAAATTTTCAAGAATGGTTGATAATGGGACAAGGAACAGATGATAAAATTTTGGTGGTGATCGGTTGAAGCGAAGTGGATAAAATAATAAAATGGCGGGAAATCCGAGCTGCTTGGCGGAGGTCTGCGTTATTTACTCAAACCTTCTAATTCTGCTTCCGGTCTGTGTCCATGACATTTTTCCTCCTGACTGATTTAATTTCATCCTGCTGAGTGAACATTATTAGTTTATATGTTAATATGAGCTGAAAAACATTCACGTATTTGTGACTGCAGACTGAGGGGAGCTGGTTCAGTTTTTGAAATCTTAATAACCATGATGAACACAGTCATGCTGTTTATAATATTAAGATTAAAAAGGAAAACAAAACTCAAGCTGTAAATTAGGTTTGAACTTTATACTTCACTTTCAAATATTTGTCTCTTCGCTGGGAGTCAGTTTTAATGTTCAAACCCTAAAAATCTTCAGTATTAAGGCTATTTTCTTCTTATTGTTTTATTATTAATAACAATAATAATGACTATAATGTGTCCTTGGTCTTGTGTGTGTGTGTGTGTGTGTGTGTGTGTGTGTGTGTGTGTGTGTGTGTGTGTGTGTGTGTTTGGCTCCTGCAGGACTCAGACTCGTTTTTTTGTTGCAGGAAAAAGGTTTGATGCTCATTTTAATGTGGAGAGAAAAGAAGCTGCAGCTGATGGACGGCAGCCAGCAGACAGTTTCCAAAGGAGAAGAGAAGCCCTTAAAAACGTCCTTAAACCTGCCAGATTAAGGTGAAATGAGGAAAAGGATAAAACAATAGGAATCAAAGTCAAGTCCTTAATGTTGTGATTTTAATGAGAAACGTTTTAAACCTTTGGGTGAATTTCAGAATTAAAGTGACCAGTTCCAAATCCAGTGAATGAAGCGATGTTGGGTTTATACTTCAGAGCATGTGCAGTGATTAATGGATAAAAACAGGCTTTTTAAATTTGCTTAAAACTTCACACAGGAGTGAGAAGGAGATGGAGGAATTTTAAAAGCAGTTTAGAGGGATAATTGTTCCTATACACAGGCCTGCAATATGTTTTAAGGGTTTTGATTTATCGGTGCTTTTAGTGACAAATCCTCACAGATTTCTTACTAACTGTTTGTCCCTTTTTATCTCAAGGGTTTCCTGGAGCTTCAGCAGATTTTCGTTCATTTTTTTATTTTCTATTCATCGTTCCTGCGAATAAACTCTTTTTGAACTCTCACCCTTTTTTAAATCTTGATCTTCTCCTTAATGCTCTGCTGGCTGCACCACTACTGAAGAGGGAGATATTATACATATATGATTTATTGTTGGATGGGTTGAGGTCGGGACTCTTCATTCAAGCTCTTACACACCAAACTGGAGAAATCATTTCTTAATGGAGGTGCTTTGTGCACGGAGGGTATTGTCATGTTGAGACACGAGAGGGACAAAAACACAAAGTAAGAAGAACACGGCTGTCTAAAATATCATTTTTCCTTTCACTGGAAGTGAGTGATTAAATTGCACCTTACTGTTATTTCATTTTTAGATTTTGCACGTATTGTTCTGCTATTTTCATCTGTTTGTATTTTTGCACTCGTCTAACTTTGCATTGTATCTTATCTTATTAAGTCCTCATACTTTTGGCCATACAGCATGGTCTTAATTAACACATGAATTTTGTTTTATCCGCCCCATATCTCACATTTTCTCCCAGTTTGTTGTACACGTTGTGGATTTGTGGACAATATATAACAGTGTTTACACACGTTGATACTGATATAATATTTTTTTAACCCCATTTTCATGACTTTATTCAAGCAGTTTAAAATAGCTAAGGCCTGCAGAGCGCAATTCTGAGTGTGCTATGCCTGAAGACAGTAGACACAAAGCAGTGACGTTATGCGGTCTGGTTATGGCCTCTGTTGAGCGGCCTTTTGGTTGTCTTGACGTTTTCCCTTGAGCAGAGCTGTATCTGTAGTGCAGGTTTGCCTCTCTCTTAAGAATGGTGTAGGAATGAGTCCTAAAACCTGGCTATGAGTCAGCATTTTAGCACTTCTGGATCCCTCGTCTTGAAGTCAGTGGGTTTTTAGTTAGATGCCTGAAACAAGGTCTGTGGTCAACGCAAGCTTTAGAGACTTTCATGTTTTAATTCTACAACATAATCTGGAAATACCTCACTTATGAACTCTAAAGCTTTTATGTGTCTTCAAAAATGGCTAAATGGGACGACAGAACGTTGTCACATGGCTGTAGTGGAGTTTGTTTATAGCCTAACGTTAGCTTCTCACTTCCGGCGATCGCTTTAACGCTTCACAAATCATAAAAGTGGTGTTTATTTGTGAAGATTATCTTTGTTAGACTGTGAGAGGGGGCGGGTTTATGACCTACACTGCAGCCAGCCACCAGGGGGCGATCAAGATGTTTTGGCCTCATTTCTGAGGAGTTGGAATGTCGTCCATTCTTTAAAAATCATATAATCTGTTTTGTCATTAGACAAAAATGCTTTTTAATTTTAGTTGTTTTTATGCTTCATAGTTTTCCATCTAGTTTTAGTCAGTAGGCGAAAATTATGATGAAAAATGTTCGTTAACATCCCTTTCTCCATGACGCAGATGAGACGTTGACAAGCTAAAAGTAGATTTTGCTAATAAAAACTATGATGACATATATATTTTGTTTCCATTGAACAGAGGAGACGGAATGAAAATGTTAGTGATGGACTCTCAGACATTCAAAATAAGACACGAGGAGAGCTAAACGATAATTATTTTGTTTAATTTGTTAGGAAAATGTTTTTAAGAAGCCACGAATGGCCGTGCTCGCATCTTTTATCGCAACACATTCTCAAACCTAGTCATATATCGATGTTTGGTCATGGACTTTCTACATCGAGATACGACGTCCAAGGTACCCTGGGTGTGTTGGTTGTTGACGTTCTGGGACTCCGAGTCAAGTTCGGCCTGTTACATGCATTGTCTGTTTTCAAAATACACTTCTGTTTTCAACAACTTCGGAGTAAGACTGGGTTGTCTAATGCCGTATAAGCAATACGAGATCAGAGCGTTGATGAGTGAGCTAACTCCAGTAAAAAGTCTGCACCAGGACGTTTTGTTGGGCTGCAAAACACTCACATCCAGGGCAGCATCAGTCGTTAGCAGGAGTCGTGAGCTTTAATCTGGCAGCCAATAATCATACATGTGTGTCTGACTGTGGATGGTGGAGCTGTTTATTGGATTTTGCAGAGTTTGTTAGTTGCAGTGGTGGCTGTTAGCAGCTAGCTCAATTTGTTAGCCACTGAACTGCAGCAGAGCGAGCCAGACTTCACATCTGTTGATCCTCGCAGGACTCCACTAAGTCCGGACTATCTAGAGAAGGTTTATGGTTTGATTGCTGTTTGACAGGCAGGTAGGAGGTTTGGTTATCTGTGAGTTGTGAGCTTTTTGGCTCAGTGTTTAGTCTTCTTGAAAAAAAAAAAAGGTTGTTGCCGAGCCTTTTTCTTCATCATTTTGGTTAACAAAATTAGCGCTGCTGGAAAACATTTGTTCCAATTTCATAACTTTTCCAGGACTTCATGACCACGAGAACTCTGGTGATACAATCACAAATTTCTCTCATATAAGAAAAACCAAAAAGTAAGTTAATCTTTCGTTTGACTTGAAGTAAAAACTGAGAAAATAAAAATCCACGATGGCGAACACACAGGTGCTTTAAAAACACTTTTAATTGTGACACTTAGATCAGACACCTGAACAAAGCAGGTGCACAATAAGACAATATAAATATACTCCTTCATATAGGTTTTTGTCCTTTAGTTTTTGGCCTTTGAACTGCACTGACACAAACTGGACCGGACAGTTAAAACAAACGGCAGGTTGTTGCACACAGTCAATCGAAGGCCTACACTGAATTTACAGGTAAAACTCTTTTTATTTTTTCCTGAACGACGACACGCAAACAGACGGTAGTGAATGAATGAACAGCGGTGATGAGACGCTCGGTCGGCTCACAGCTGCTCAGATTAAACACATCAATCAGATTTAAAACTCCTAAAATGTTCCTGCTTAAAAAAAGAAAGAAAAAGAAAAAGTCCTGACTTTTCCAGTTGGTTGGCACGTTTCTAAGACTTTGATCAATGTTGGATATGATGCACATCAGGCAGTACGACCATATCACTCTACAGCTCAATATTATTATTCACAACAAGTAAATATCACAATGAACAAAGATAACAGCAACTACATCCACATGTAGTCGTGATTCTGAACAGTTACTCCCCAATCTCAGAGTTCCAACCATCTGAAGACCTTCATGTGGTGACCCTTTGTGTGTGGACCTGTGTCCTGTTTCACTGAACACTGAAACATGTGTCAGTGATATTTTGTTTTGCAGTGGACAACCACAATAGAAATATTTCATTTTTTGCATTTTGTACCACCTGAGGCCGACAGCTGTCGCTCAGCAGTGGGGACATTATCAGCTACAGAAGGTTTGAAAACGACTGCAGAGCAGCAACGTTTCATCAGCTTGGAGTTGTAAGAGTTCTTCTGCAGAGGTGAGACTCCAAACAAACATTAAGCTACTAAGTACTTCCTGTCTTTGTTCTGAAAGCTCAACCCTGACAGACTAAAACTTGATGGACGATTCTGCGAAACAAGTTTAGATTCCATGACAATGCTTCAGAGCACTGAATGCTAATGTTTAATTTTTACTATATCTGTGCAGCTGCAGTGTGCTAAGTAACGGACAGTTAAAGGATATTCGTGGTGTATCACAGCTTGGGTCTAATTTTCACAAATTTGACCATCAACTTACACAACACATTCTCACTACGACCTTGTAACATATCAGTGTTTGGTCATGGACTTTCCACGTCCACATATGACGTCCAAGGTCCCCTGGGTGTGTTGGTTGTTGACGTTCTGGGACGCCGTGTCAACTTCAGCCTGTTACATGCATTGTCTGTTTTCAAAATACACTTCTGTTTTCACAGGAAATGTACAGTTTGCATACAGTCTCTTTCAAAATAAAAGCACTACGTCGGTACAACACCACAGATTGCTGCTCAACAACAAATGCACATGATTGGGTTTAGGAAAAAAAAACAGGGCTTGGCTTAACAATCTCACAGGAAGTGCACACCGGCCGCGCAGGTAAGAGTCAGTGGTTGTTGGACCCATCCACCCTTCTTGAACTGATGCCACCTTAAAGGGATAGTGCACCCAAAAATGAAAATTCAGCCATTATCTACTCACCCTCATGCTGAGGGAGGCTCAGGTGAAGTTTTAGAGTCCTCACAACACTTGCACAAGGAATGTGAGGACTCTAAAATGTCACCTGAGCCTCCCTCAGCATGAGGGTGAGTAGATAATGGCTGAATTTTCATTTTTGGGTGCACTATCCCTTTAACTTTCGTTGTTGACCCACTGCGTTTCCCCCTGACGCTGTTAAACAATAGTGGTGACCGGCCTTATATCATGCCGACGTGAAAGGACAGCTTTTTTCATCTGAGTCTGACGCCCAAAGTCACTGATCAAACGCCAGATTTCGCCGATTTCGGAGACCGGGTTGACCTATGACTACATTCAAAGTGTCTGGAAGTGCGACAACCAAAGAAAAATGAGCAGTCAGATGATAAACAGGTTGGAAATAAATCACCGGGTCGGACAAAACATACTTATTGTTCACTGTAAACATCCATCACAGTTTACAGACCTACATCCTGCTACAGTTTTCACCTACTGTACTTACAGTGGACGGTTTTATGACCAACATCTCAGGTGTGCTCACTTTTAGTTTGATATTCAAATAAAGTGATTTAGATAACCTGGGTAAATCTGCTACCGCTCGTGTTCCTATTGTATTATCTCAGATGTTAACTTGTTGAGTTCAATCTTTATATTACCAATAGAAATGATGCACACAACTACAAAGACCCAAACTGTAATAAAACCACAAATATCCTTTAAGGTTTGGGCAAAACAGTAAATGGAAACATCCTGATGGCAATTAACAAAAGCTAATGTTCATAATTTGATCTGTGACGCAAATCTATGGAGGCGTAATGTATTCACTTGAAAAAAAAAGGACACCTGTTTTTCTGAATTAATGAGATCATTATCGCAGAATTCTAAGAAAAGTTATCATGAAAGAAAATCTGCTCTTGTTTTTCTGAATTAACAAGTTAATAAACTCGTAAATTCGCGTTTTCTTCTGAGTTTACAAAATTATTATTTTGTTAATTTTAGAAAAATGAGGATAATTTTTTCAACAAAACTTTTCTCATAATTCTGAGATGATTATCTTGTTAATTAAAAGGAAGAAGAAAAGAAAAAACATCTGATTTTTTTTTCTCAAGCGAATGCATTACACTTCTGAACAACTCTTTACTCGGCATAATAACAGCTGAACTTGCTACGTACTCATTTACCACACTGACTTTATGTTCTGCCTCGCTACATAAAAGACACTATCATAGAAACTTTGGCGTTGGATGTAAATTGTGAGTCGCAGATTTGTCGACGATTAAGGTGAGGGAACATGGGGGTGCAGGGGAGGACAGCTAGGGGGCCAAAGAACGGCGTTTTTGGTGGGAGAGTTGGATCTGCATGTCCACAGCAAGTTAATCAAAATGCACTAGTGGCACTCATGATCCCCAGAGGATGAATCCTAACAACGTCCTGGTTTTCCTCTGCAAACTAACCCTAACTCTTTTTCATTTGGACAAGAAATATCAAAACCTAATGAGAAGATATTGATGCAATGCCCCACATTTAGCCCTCAAGAAGATAAACTCATGATTTCCTGTAGCCTCATCCCCAGGACACTGACAGGGTAATGCCGAAAACACAGGCGAGTTTCAGGCAGGGGGATTTTTTTTGTAACATAGGTCAGTATTTATCAGGAGTCACTGGACTCTGTTTACTGACAGGCTGCAGGTATCCTCTGGCCACAACTTGTAGCTGAAAGTTAAACTATCCCCAACTTTTAGTTTGCCATTGAAACAAAAAGTCGCAGCTCACCACAGGCTGCATTTCATGACTGCTTAGTGTGAAGCTCAAAGGAGAGCTAAATCATCAGCATAATGTTCATACTGTCCGACCTAAACAGCAAAACATCGCCTTTTAAAATGACCTATACAAGAGTGTTTCTGACACCTCTAGGGTTAAAGGGAAATTTCGGTTTATTTCAACCTGTCTCCTATCGTCCTAAATTTGTTTCAAGTCACTAGTGACATAGAAATAATAGTTAGCATGTTAGCCGTTAGCCTAGATACAGCAGGGGCACATAGTAGCGTCAGACCTGTTAAAACGTAAGTGAACGGGCAACCTTCAAGTGCAAAGTTAGTCCACTAAACAAGCTTTTTTTCCACAAAGACCGCCTCATATCGTTAGGATAAATGTCAGAGAACATATAGAAAACGACATGTAAACGTGTTGTCTTACCTTACCGGTGTGCTGCCATGTTTGTTGTTTACCATTTAGCTAAGGCTGCAACCGGTCCCATTCCTTGCAACAGAGGCATTCCTCTTCTGTGGGCACTGGGGCACAGCATTCACAGGTACACCACCAATCTCCAGAGCTACGCAGCCTTGCAGCAGCCATTCCTCCTCTCTCGTCCTCTACCTGTTGCGCCTCTCTCTCTCTCCTCCTCCGTTCTTCAATTTCACGAAGCTCTTCGTCAGTGTATTCTGGCTCAAATAAATAAGGGTGGCCATCACCTCTCGATGTGGAAAGCCTATATACTAACATTCCACATTTAGGTGGTCTTCAGAGTTGTTGTCTTACCTTACCGTGTGTTTACCTCTGCTTCCCAAAGCGCAGCCGAAATATCGCGAGAACAAGCAGCGATCTCATACCGTGCCTGAAATCTCGCGAGAACAAGCAGCAACAGCTGGAAGGCAGAACCGGACAGTAGCCTGAAAAGTTCATTCATTTATTTTATGAAAGATTTATAGAATAATGGCTGACTTTTTGCCAGACTTTGACTTTGTGGAGGAGGAATTTGATTTTGCAGAGTTTGATGGCCGCCCTTATTTATTAGAGCCAGAATACACTGACGAAGAGCTTCGTGAAACTGAAGAACGGAGGAGGAGAGAGAGAGAGAGGCGCAACAGGTAGAGGACGAGAGAGGAGGAATGGCTGCTGCAAGGCTGCGTAGCTCTGGAGATTGGTGGTGTACCTGTGAATGCTGTGCCCCAGTGCCCACAGAAGAGGAATGCCTCTGTTGCAAGGAATGGGACCGGTTGCAGCCTTATTTTCAAGGTCTTTGTGGAATAAAAGCTTGTTTAGTGGACTAACTTTGCACTTGAAGGTTGCCCGTTCACTTACGGTTTAACAGGTCTGACGCTACTATGTGCCCCGGCTGTATCTAGGCTAACGGCTAACATGCTAACTATTATTTCTATGTCACTAGTGACTTGAAACAAATTTAGGACGATAGGAGACGGGTTGAAATAAACCGAAATTTCCCTGTAAGGGCATATTAAATTTGGGCAATTGTAGCTGTTTGGTTGACACTACAGAAAGATTGTGATCATGGTTAAAAGGAACCAACATTGGACGGACTGTAATTGTCCACGCTAATCCACGAGACGTTTGTCATGCTACTTCTGCTTTTGCTAATCAGAAACAACAATCATTATTTTGCACGACCACAAGAGGCCGCCTGTCAGGAAAATGCAATCAAAGATTATTTTATGTGTTTAAACAAAAAGACAATGCTGTATTTTTATCAGTGGACACAGGTACTGTGGATTGTAATAAATATTTTAGCACTTAGAGGATGCTAGCGAGATTTTTACATTTAACCAGAAAGATCAGTTTGTATGACAGGCTGCCTGCCGATAGTATCCTCAGCTTCTCATTTAGATCCACCCCTAGCTTATCGCCCAAATATGGTCACTTCTGTTCCCTAAAATCAAGATGGCAATGGCCGAAATGCCAAACTCAAGGCCTCAAAACAGGAGTCTACAAACCAATGGCTGACATCACGATAGCTACGTCCCTTATTCCTACAGTCTATGGTCATGATGTCCTTAACATAATGTGACGAGGTGACGTATGTGCGTAACTTAAAATCAAGTCACAATTTACTTTTGGTTTCAGACGTGATGAGAGCAGCAGTCTCCTGGGTCGAAGTCCTGTATTTGTTTGACACATCCATCACTCTGACTGTTTCCCTGACCAGAGGACAGCCTGCAGTGCACGAGTCATCACAGCCTCCTTGCTCATGATTATTTGGGTTATATAAGAATGATAGTGCATTACTTCTAAGTCTTTAGTATGAGCAGTGAAGGATAAGAGCCTGAATAGGTTGGTTATTAAAAAAATAGTACAAAGTAACATTCAAAGATGTGACCGTGGATAACTTTGATTAAAACAGTCAAATAGAACCTTACAATTCCAAGCTTCCTGTCAAATAAAAATAGATCTCTTTAGGTGATTTTGCTGCCGTTGCTGTCAGTTAAAAACAATGTTGAAGGCGGCGAGGTCGCTCAGACTCGGGGGGGATCAGAGCTGCCGCAGCCTTTTTGAGCAGTTAGCTACAACTGTGGATGAAAACAAAAAAAACACAGGAAGGAGCTGCACTGACGGCGATCGCTGAGCTCTACTGTACAAAGTGACATCAATCAGAGTATGGCTGCTCGTGGAGGAGGGCGGGGCTTCCTGTCCTGCAGGTGAGGGAGGGTGGACGAGGTTTGTCTCTGCAGAGTGTCCATCGGATGCCACGCCTCACCTCGACTACCTGTTTGTCGTACATTCTCACTCGTGTACGTTTTCAACACGCATGTACAGCAGCGTCAGGGCAATGAGCACGTGACAGGTTGGGTAGGAGGGAGGAGGGAAGGGGAAGGGGGGGTGACTACCTGAGCGCTCGTCCTCACCTGATCAGGACCTCCAGTCACGATGACATGTTACCTCTACTGCACGTTTGATCTATACCATAAATCACACTGTGATGGAAGGTCCTGATCTGCTGGAGAGGACGATGATCAGATAGTAACCAGGTGTGTGTGAAGGGATGATGTGTGCTCAATCTTCCTCCTCATCGCTGTCTCTCATGCTGATGCCCTGCAGGCCGTCGCCCGACTTGACGGCCGCTGTGGCTTCCTCCACTGTCAGCCGGTTGTAGATGGTCTCATAGCTCTTGTTGTTCAGCGTGACGTCCAGGACGCCCTGCAGCCTGAAGTCACGGTAGGTCTTCTGTTGAGGTGCGAGGGTGGAGGGGTGGAGATGAGGTAAAAGGAGAAGGGAGGGAAAAACAGAGAGCATCTTAGGAATGCAGCGAGCGGGAGGAGGCAGCTGCCATTTGGAAGGACAAAAGCGGGAAGATTGAGGCTCAAGGACGAGCTGAGTCTTTTATGCGTTGGACCGAGAAGGCAGACTGAGGCGTCTGAGGGGTTTTTACCGTCAGTCAGAAGCCATTATAATTCCTTGTCTCGTTGCTTTCAAGTTAAACTCACACATCTCTGCACATTAGCAAACTATGAAAAGACAAAAGCGGCGAGCAGCACAGTTGAGCAGTTTTGTCATTCGTGTCTCGCCGCCTCTTCACACTGCTGCTGCTTTCAAGGACACTTCTGGTTTGATTTGTCTTTATTTTTTGGTTCTTTCCTTCAGTGTCAGTTCTGACTGTTTTTACATGAATACGCCACGATTTAAATTCAGTTTAGCCAGCCTGAGGCTCCTCCGCTGCTGCTCTTTTCAAACAGCAAAGAAAAGGAGATTTAGTTTAGTAGGTAAAACTATTCTGTCAGCTCTGAATGACAAATGCCCTTTTTTTGGAATTGTTTTGGTCTGTCATTAATGGTTTTATATTTTCCTACCTTCACAATCTTGATGAGTGTTTTCAGCTGGTACATATGAAGCTGCAGGTCCAGTCTGTCTGTCAGCCAAACACACACTGCCTTCATGGAGCCGGTGTACCATTGCTGTGAGAAACAAAAGCACATTTTTGTGGTCACACAGTTTCCTGCAGCCTGGCATCACCAGAGCAAATGAAACTTGAGCTCTCAAACTCATATGCTTCGTGTTCAATGACAGGTATTACCAACATCTCATGAACACACACTTTACACACACTTTGACGTTTGCCCTTTAAATGTTGCGATAAAACAGATAAACTGTCTGATTGTTTGACTGTGTTCCAAGATCTCAGCTATTAATTTGATGAGTACAATAAAAAGCTGTAGAACAAATGACCCAAGCCACAAAAATGAAACTGAAGTTGCAACAGACGTGTTCCTTTAAGAAAAAAATGACCCTTTAATGGTGAAACCATTCTCAGATTGCCAACATAACACACACTGTAACACATCACCAAAATAAATGTTGGCATTGTACATTTCTGCAAAGCACGAATACTTTAGATTTGAACTTTATTATGTGGCCAATATGTTCAAACTTGACGTTTCAACAATGCTGTGGTTAATGTGTGGTTAGGTTTAGGCACAAAAAATACTTGGTTATGGTTAGGAAAAGATCATGTTTTGAGTAAAAATACACTGTTTTGGGAGCACAGTCCCCACTGGAAATGAAGCAATGGCTCAGTAAAGAAGAACTGCTTTTGTGGCACTATCTCCTGTAGCAAAACAGCCATGAGTCCCTAAAAAACACCCACATTTGGTGGCTAAAAGCCACTAGAAACAAAGAAATGACTTGCTAAATCACGACTGCTTTTCATGGCACTACCCAGCAAGAAACGCAGCGACGTCTCAGTAAAAAACACAAAACGAAAAAAAAAAAAAAACAACAACCAGCTGCTTTTCATGCGTTAGTCCAAAAGGAAACGCAGAGATATCTCAGTGAAGAACAATCACTTTCCGAGAAGAAAAGAGAAACAACAGCTTTTTGTGACACTGTCCCTGCTAGAAAAACTGTGATTAGTAGCTTAAAAAATCCCCATGTTTGCTGGCTAAAGAGCTGTTGGAAACTCAGTAATGACTCGCTAAATCACAGCCGCTTTTTGTGGCACTAGAAAAAGCAGTGATGTCACGGCAAAAACAAACACTTTTCGTGGCACTATCTCCGCAAGAAAAACAGCTATGAGTTGCTACAAAGACCCACGTTTGGTGGCTGAAAGGACACTGGAAACACAGCAATGATTTGACTTCTCAGTAAAAAAAAAGCAGCTGCTTTTCGTGCACTATTCCAACAGGAAATGCAACATCTCGGTAAAAAACAATCACTTTTTGTGACACTAGCTAGAAAAACAGTGATGGGTAACTAAAAAACACCCATCTTTGGTGGATAAAAAGCCGCTGGAAACACAGAAATAACTCACTAAATCACAACCACTTTTCATGCACTATTCAAGCAGGAAACAGTGATGTCTCGGTAAAAAACAACCAGTTTTTGTGACAATATTCCCAGTTGAAACACAGCAACGATGTGCTAAATTTCAACTGGTTTTAATCCACTACTTCAGCAAGAAACTCAACAATGTCTCGGTAAAAAACAACCACCCTTTGTGTCAAAATCTCTGCTAGAAAAACAACAATGACCGATCTTTGGTGGCTAAAAAGCAGCTGGAAACACAGCAGCACAACAGCTTTTAGTGGCACCATCCTGGCAGAAAAAGCAGTGATGTCTCAGTAAATGAACATCCACTTTGTAGGCTGCTATGCCAACAACAACACAGCAATGTCAAACACCGTTTGTGGCACTATCCCATCTCTGTCTTATGGGCTGCCACACAACCACATGTTTGGTGGCTAAAGAGCTGCTGGAAACAGAAATAATCAATGCCAACATTTTCTTTTGGTGACACTGGAAGAAGTAAAAAGATCACCTGAGTCCATGGACTCAAAAAGCAAAAAGCACTTTTGACTTTGTATTTTAAAGAGAAGTTGTTTTTTGTCCATTCACTTTCATACATCTGTTGGACAGGAACTGTGGCTCACACACAAACTTTGTTTTCAGCACTCAGCTGTGGCAGCTCCTGAACAAAAACACAAATAATTGTTGACTGTATGTTTGACTTTCACAATGAGACAAATTAAGCCAAAACCTTGAGTTTAACAAACTACCCTTTGAAGTGAAGCATTAAAAAGGGACAAAGCATGGCCTTCTGAATGAGTCATACATGTACAGCTGTGTGTAACAGATTTTCTAGTCTGGAGGATGTGACCTCAGACCACCAGAGCACATTCTCTACAGAAACCAGCTGAAAGCAGCTTCATTCATCATCCTGAATGCATCCTCAAGCTGATTTTAAAGTCAGAAAACAAAGAACCAACATCCCAAGGACTGTTTTTAAACCCTTCACTGTTTTTTCCTGAAATATCCTTGAAAAGAACATAAATAAAAACAACATTATGTTAATGGTTGCTCTCAGAACAAGGACGGTTTATGGTTGTCATTTCTGCATGTTCGCCTGCAGAGGAGTTCACAAGATCGCCGTTTGCATGCTGACAGCTTTAGAAACGCCTCGCTTCAGTCACGCCGACGACACTACAGTACGAGGTCAAAGGATGTGTGGCATCGAAACGGCAAAACTCAAAGAGGGCGAAACATTTACTTATTCAAAAGGTACCAATTTACTGCACAACTCCTGAATGCTGCATGTCAAGGGAAGAGTTCATGGCTCTGCTTCGACCTTCGTAGATGGGAAAAAAATCAGGTTCCGTCTTTGTAATTTTCATTAAACGCTCTTCCTTCACACCTCCCGCCACCAGGCCATAGCTGCAGGGAAATCAAACGCACCTTTTCTCACCTGAAGAGCGATCCTCACTTACAGCAGCATTCAACATGCTGCTGGTAAAATGCACACATCAGGTGGCTTTATTCAGTTACCAGTCAAACAAGAATGCTCAGGGAAATTGCTCTGACACAGTAATGACCCGTAATATTCAGATGTGCTTCAAGAGCCACCGGCAGACTTAATTTCATACTGACAAGAACTGTAATTACCTTCCAATTTAAGAGAGAAAAACAGTCCAAAGGTTATTTCATGCACTTGACAAAAGCCAAAACACGTCCGTGATCATTCGTTGGTCACGCAAATATTTGATTCCATCTATTGTGGGAGCGACCTCTGACCCCCTTCACACCGGCTTCTTAATTATGGCAAAGTAATGAGGCAGTTTTTCCATTCAGTCCAAGTAGCTGCAAGGAAATGTGTGTTGACTTTCAAATGAGGATTCAAGACTAATCACAGGTCCTGGTTTTATTTCTTCTCTGTCCAGAGAGAAGAAACAAAGAATGTTCGCTCTCTGAAAATGTCGTACCTTGCTATCTGAGGGTCAACATACACCCACAAATTTGGTGCCTTTTCATAAACTTTTTTTTTTTTTTTTTTAACATTTTATGTCGATGATGTAGATGATGTAATTGATGTAGTTTTCTCGTTGTGATATGGTCGCTTTTGGCTGTCGAAGATTTTAATGCGTTGAGTGTCAAATGTCTTTAAAGTTGTTTTTTGTGCCAGAATCATGTCAAATTGATTTTTACGCAACAGAATCATCAGAGTCAACTCATTCCCAATCCATTCCCTTCACGCTGGCATGACACATGGCAGATCGATGCTATTGTTGAACGGCGCCCAGCAGTGTCAGGGGGAAATGTGGTGGGACAACAATGAAAGTTAGGGTGGCGAAAGTTTGTGAAAAGTAGGGCGAGTGGGAGGGTTGATGGATCGGTCTGACAACCACCAACTTTCACCTGGTAGGCTGGTGTTCATTTCCTGTAAGATTGTAAAGCCAAACCCTGTTCTTTTTTACTTACTAACCCAACCACGTGTTTGTTGTTGAAAGAGACTGAATCAAACTGTAAATTTCCTGTGAAAACAGAAGTGTATTTTGAAAACAGACAATACAAGTTGACACAGCGTCCCAGAACGTCAACAACCAACACACACAGGGTACCTTGGACGCCATATGTGGACGTGGAAAGTCCATGACCAAACGTGGACATGTGACGAGATGTGTCGGAGTTGCCAGAATAAATGTCGGCATTGTACGTATCTGCAAACCACGGATACGTTACATTTGTATGTCATTATGTAGCAGATACATTGAAACTTTAGGTTTCATCATCGCTGGGCTTAACATGAGATTAAACAATAATGGCAACGCGTATCATGTCGACGTGACAGGACATCTTTTTTCGTCTGTGTCTGACGCTGAAAGTCACTGTCCAAGCGCCGATATTCGATGACTTTGGAGAGAGACCGGGTTGTGCAAATCACTGTATCTCCACGCTGTCTGGCATGTCTGAGGCGTGTCGCTAGCTTAGTACCTGCTAACGTGAGCTCACCTTTTTTTTCTCTGATAACTTGAGATCCAGATGGTCAGGAGGTTTTTAGCGGGAGCTGAATTATCTGCATTAGTCTTCTTCTCTCCAAAACAAATGGACCAGGCGATTTAAACTGGCAAAAACACTAAGTGAAGCAGTTTTCCATTTAAAAAATTATGCTTTTCCCATGGTCTTGTCACAGAGGCGCTGCTAACTACGGCGGCCGACACAAAAAGGCGAATGGCCCCATCTAAAGCCGGTGTTTAGTTTGTCTAATATAGGCTACTGTAGAAACAAGGACCTGCTCCCTATGTAGCAGGGGCGATTGCTCTGAGACAAGGGAGGCTGAACGTCCCCTAAAATTTCATAGAAGAAATGGTTAAATATGAACTATTGAATTTACATTAAAATAAGAATTATAGAAGATTGTAGATTATAGAATAATATATTATTTCCAGTTTCTGCCAATGTATCTCCCTAAATCCTACACAGTGAAACTTTACTAATAAAAGTATTTATTTATTTAAAAATGACTTTATTGCTTCCACTAAGCGTCTATGATCAGACCTGAGGCCATAGTTTCGTTCTGCTCTTTGGAAATAATAGACCACAGAATGTAGCGATGATAACGTCCATTCAACTGAGTCATTTTTCTTTGTATCTGTACAAGATGAAGTGGAGACATTATTCTGCTCAA